CCTCAAACGGATAAATATATTGAACTCTGAAAGAAACAAAAGTCCATACAATACATACAAGCCTATGCACTTCAACTGAAGCCAAACCACTGGGAGATGTAAAGATTCCACTTCCATCCCCTAACAAGATCAAAAGTCTATCATATATCAAACTCCTACCCTATACAAAATACATATGTTACTAACAGCAATACAAAACCTTATTTACATGCCAACACCCCATCATACACATCTGCAAATAACCTAAAACACAGATAATCTCCAGGCAGCCTCCTTATCATTTCTTCGCCCTTGACTTGTGCACCTGATATAGAAGTTAGGCACTGACAATAACAAGATTGACCTACCATTCCTCCTTTTCCAGCAATGCAGATCTCCTACTCTTTAAATGTTTGACTGTCTGAAAATTCCTGCCATTCCTTTAATGCTCCATCTGCAGTGTCTTTTTCATTTACCCATGAGTTTTTGAAAACCCAACTATTTCGGGTCTTCCACAGCCACCAAAGGATGTAAGTTGTTAATTCAATTCTGTCCTTTAGGCAGCTACCAGCTTTTATCAGGCAAATCTCTTTCCACCACATTTGAAATGAGTATTCCATCCTCTTTAGTCCCTCCCATTGCACACCTGCCATCTTCCATACATACTGAGCTCTCCTGCATGTGAATAAAATGTGCTCTAGATCTTCCTCCACCTCTCCACATAAGCTGCATATTCTATCTCCTTTCATACCTCTTTTCTGAAGTTGATCTTTAGTAGCCAAAAACCTGTGCCAACACCTCCAAATGAACATCTTTATTTTATTTTTAACATTCAATCCCCATGTTTTCTTCCAGATTTTCTTCTCCATATTTAAATTATTACTAGAGCCTGGTTTCTCAGTCTTATTATGTAGTTTCTCCTCTAACAGCTTGTAGGCCGATTTAACAGAAAACATGCCATTAGAGTTTGGATGCCACACAGCTCTATCTTTAAGCCCTTCTTTAGGATGGGGCAGCTGTAGAATTTGACTAGCATCAGCAGGATGAAAAGTTTGTTCAATTAGTTCTCTATCCCAGCCCCCATCCTCTTGTCTTTGCAATTCATTAACAGTTCTAAGTGTCCTTCTATCCCTCTCAAAAAGGCAAAGGGGTTTAAAAGATGGGTTATTAGGTAACCAGGGGGATTCCCATATTGATATACTTTTCCCATCACCCACTGTATACCTAAGCCCCATTTGTAACACATGCCTCACACTTAACCAAGACTTCCACAACCAAGAATCTGAACTTTTAGGTGATACCTCCATCAGATTTTGATTATGAAAATACTTGCCCTTAAGCACTTTACTAAGAAGAATATTTGGTTTAGTTATAATTCTCCATAATTGTTTTGCTAGAAGGGCCTCATTAAAAAGAATCAAATTTTTGAACCCCAGCCCTCCACAATCTTTAGACTTAGTCAGTTTATCCCAACTTCCCCAATGAATTTTCTTTTTCCCTTCCTCATTACTCCCCCACCAAAAGTCTGAAATAACCCTACAAATCTCCTGACACACCCCCAAAGGAATTTTAAAACAAGCCATGACATATGTGGGTAATGCATTCAAAACAGTATTAATCAAAATATCCCTACCAGCTTCACTTAAGAAATGATTTTTCCAGTTTGTGACTCTAGAGATGACCTTATCTGAAACAAACTTGAAAGTTTCTACCTTAGACCTACCTATACCTAATGGAAGACCTAAATATTTAGAAGATTTGACAACCCTAATCCCTTCAAAACACTGACAGATCTCTCCCTTTACCTCATCCAGTGCATTCTTAGAAAACAAGATAGAAGATTTGCTGAGATTGATGAGCTGACCAGAAGCTTGACCAAAATTATGTAACATGAGGGAAAGTGATCTGGCATTAGAGACAGTGGCTTTACAAAAGAAAATAGAATCGTCTGCAAAAAATAAATGAGTTAAGGCAGGAGCAAATTTGCCTATTTTAATACCTTGAAAATAATTATTAGCACAAGCTTGATTAATAAGATTAGATAGTGCTTCTGTCAAAATGATGAAGAGGTAGGGTGACAAAGGGTCACCCTGCCTGAGACCTCTAGAGGGCTTAACAAACCCTGCAGGAGTACCATTAATATTGAAAGAGAATGATGAAGAATTAAGGCAAGCAAAAATCCAGGATACAAAAATATTACTAAAGCCCAATTTCAGGAGGATTTTGGTAAGAAAACTCCACTCTACTCGGTCGTAGGCCTTAGCCATATCAATTTTTAAAGCCATATAAGCCACTTTTCCTTTTTTCTTACTATTCAAAAAGTGAATAACTTCATTAGCTAAAACTGCATTATCCAAAATCTGCCTATCTGGCACAAAAGCAGCTTGATTTGGAGAGATGCATATATTGAGGACTGTTTTTAATCTATTAGCTAATATTTTGGAGATAATTTTATAGGTAACTGTACACAAGCTAATAGGTCTGTAATCAGTAATAGTAGTTGGGTTTTGGCTTTTGGGTATAAGAGTAACTACAGTGTGATTGGTTTTCTGGGGAAGGGAACAATTTTGGAAAAATTTACCAATGGCTGTGCATAAATCATTTTTAACAATAGACCAACAAGATTGAAAAAGCAGAGGGGTCATACCATCTTCCCCAGGAGCTTTGTGGGGATTCATCTCCATCAGGGCTGTTTTGATTTCCTCCTCATGCACTGGTGATATTAGGGCTTGGTTCAATTCTTCAGTCACCACTTTTTGCATTCCTACCAAACTGCATTGTTCCAACCTTGGATTAGAGGATGTGAAAAGATTCCTAAAGAACTCTTCTATCTCAGTAACAATCTCCTCTTCATTTTGGCACACAAATCCATCCCTTCTCACCAGTCTCTCTATGCTATTTCTATTTCTCTTTTTCTCTTTCTATATGATAGTTTGATGTGCTGACATTTTAGTGCTTATCCTCATCTACTTGTTGTTCTTATCGTTTCTATGTACCTTTCCCTTTCTAATTCCCGTTTGCTTCATTTTCTCTCTCTAAATCAATAATTTTTTTATGATTATGATTTGGACGTGTGTACTGTTCTAGCTTCTAATGCACATTAGAAATATTGTTGCCAAACAATGGCAAAGGTACATTCAATTGGTCTCATATTTTGTATGAGTGTGTAACAGGTCGAACCGTGATGTTTTTTATTTTTTAATAATAATTATATACTAATTATAAATTAAAATGTTTTTTCTGTTTACATTGATTTAAAAATACAACTGTTCATATTTGTGAAAAAATGTATGATTGCCGGGTCACTACGCATGTCTAACGGTAGACCTTGCTGCTGAAAAAGTATGTATATTTGTAGAAAAAGTATGGTTGACTAACCAAATTACGGACAATAGTAACTAGTTAAAAACAATACATTTTTATTTGCATTATAATTTAACTATTACTGTAATTAATTTGTTTATGAATTTCAATAAAACTCTATCATTTTAAAAATAAACTAGTGTGGTACCCGTGCGATGCACGGGCTAATATTATTTAAGGGAAGTTAGATTTGTAAGATTGGATGATTGGTCAGAACGTAAAATACATGTATTTGAATAAGACAAATTGTTATTTATATATAAATAACATTTTTTTTTTTGCCTTTATATATAAATAAGATTGGATGATTGGTCAGAACGTAAAATACATGTATTTGAATAAGACAAATTGTTATTTATATATAAATAAACACCTCCAGTACACACCATTCTTTATTTGATTTTGGTACACTACAACTTAAAATCTTCAAACTTTTAGGATTCGTGACGCGTAAAATATCTACATACATCTGACCGCGACATAACATCTCTTTCTCCAAGAACATGCCATAATGCTATAAATATTGACTTTGACTCTTGTTTATTGTTATGGAGCAAGAAACCATAAGTGGAACATACATTAACCTTAGAAAACCTTAAATATTCAACATTTTCTAATTCTGTAAAATTATTTGGAAAAAATATTAGAAACTGTATGTTACAGTACAAACTTTTATCGAAAAGGCTTGTTATTCAAAACATACATATGACAATCTCTAACTTTTACATTGCAGTAAGTTATATTTTTATTTTTTTTACCGTCCGTATATTTCAGCTCTCAATTTATTATGAGTTCTACACCTACTATGAAGGAAAAAACTATTTTAATTATTTTGTGAATTAAGAACATGTGTGATAGGTTAATGCAAAGCATTCTATTGCCATAACTCCGACGATTAAATTACATTATGTTCTTGCACATAATGCGAAACATGTTCTTACATTATTTTATGTGCTTTAAATTCTTATGTTCGTCGATGATTTCTTTCCAACTATTGCATATTCCATTAATATCTTGTTGTTGCATATAAAAATGAATGTTNATTAAAAGTATGATGCTATATTGGTTTCAAAGCAGGTAGATGGTTAATATTCTATAAGCATATACCTTCATCAATATTTACTTTTGACTGTGGCTTCATAGTTTTTTTTGTTATAAAAATTGATCAGTGCATTTCATACAAAAAATTAATTAAAATGTTCTAACAAAAAATGAATTAAATCAAGACTCAGTGATTATACAAATAAAAATTGACCAGAGTATTTTCTATAAATAATAATCGAGACACGCACATTATATCAAAATATTTGTTCATATTATTTTGTGGGAGTTACTGTAATTTTACTATGGTAATTTCATCCAAAAAAATAAAATAAAAAATGAGACCCACACCAAAAAACTAATATATTTGTGTGCACATTTCAGAGAAAAAGTATACCATATATTGATTAATTTTATAGCAAATTTTCTACAAAAAAAAAAGACAGTCATCAAATAACCTAAATATATCATGATTGCTTGTAAGTACCTTATTTTTTTATAAAATAAAAATGAATGTTTTACTGAAAAAACAAAATAACAAAAAGGCTTAAACAGAAGGAACACAATAATATTAATTAATTCCCTAACTAACAAATGGTTGATTAAATCCAATTTTCCACAACCAAAAAAACATGCTTATCAAAAAGCTTATTCACAGTCACGGATCTCTTCGCAAGTCACAACAAATTCACCGCAGGTAACGAACATTCGTCTTCAAAAATAAGCCGCAAATATTAATTTATGAAATGAACTAATCCCACAAATTAAGGGAAACATTAATACTTTCCAATTTTTTTGAATCAAAAAATGTTAAAAAACTTACCCAAGTTGGTAAGTATTTAATGTTGACTTGGTTTGACCTGCATTTGACATACTATTTTTTAAAAATGATAATTCTTATTATTTATATATATAGATATAAATATAGATACCAAACCTAAAAATGTACATCAAGAAGATGGATGCATGCATGAATTGTAAATGACACACAGGCCTAAAAATTCAAGCTGGACAAATAATCCCCCCTTATATATTAATTCAGAACGTGTTGAGCAATGTGTCAGGTTTGCGTGCTTCAGAATCTTATGTGGCAAAATTATATGCTTCGTTATTAGGCTTGGGTAGATTTAATTTACTTATAATCCAAAAATATTTAGATTCGGATTATCTATAAATATATTGATTATTTATGGTAGGGTGGGCGCGGTCCGGATGATCCTGGATTTGACTTATCTGGATACCGATTCCATTTTTATAAATCGGTTCATGAACGGTCCGGGATAAGGCATCGTCTCCACCACCATGTAATTCATGGGTGTATGTAGCTTAAATATAAGTAGCCTCCAAATTAAAAACGAAACTAACCACGTCTTGGCCCAAGTTCCCTCGTATTTGTCCGAGCTTATCCAAGAATTCGACAAAAATTGTAATTTTTTCTATATCACTCCTTAAATATTTAATTTTCAAATGTATTTAAGAAATCCAACATAAATGAATTTTTCAGTTATCTATAATTTAATACTGACTATCCACTTTTCCAAAATCACCCTATATTCAAATTCATTTTTATGTTCATTAATTAAATTAAATGGTTTGGCTCGACTCGTTAAAACTTGAGTTCTACTTGAGCTCGAGGTCTTAACGAGCTGAACTCGAACTCATTTAAAATTTGTTTGGTTAACGGAGTCGAGCTCGACTCGACTCAATAAGACTCGAAACGAAAAATTTTATATAATTTTTGAGTTCGTTTCATTAAGGGCTCAAGCTCGACTCCAACTCGTTTACAGACCTACTCACATATCAACAATCACTCATATTAATTAACACGAAACCAAATCATAAAATCAAATTAATGACAATTTAATTAAAAATTTAAAACATCCAGTGACGGACTTTGGCATTAATAGCCTTTTCTGTAATCGGATCCAAACTGGGCTTCCAACCCTTACCCGAAACCTGCCTGCTCAGAAACTCGGGCCTCCCTTCCAAAATCTCCTTGAAATAGTCGATTTTACCCTCGTCCTCCCTTCCCACATTCAAAACGGCGCCGTTCTTCACCCCGCCGGCAGGGCAAATCCTCACGAACAGCGGCACGAACCCCGTGTAAGCCAAAAGCGCCTTCGATTTCAGAGCGAAATTCGTCTTCCCCAAGAGCTCTCGAGCTTCATCGGACGATAACAATGGCGCCGATCTGCCTCTCCTTTTAGGGATCATTAGGTAGGTTTTTCTCGGATCCAGTTTCTGATCCGCCGGCAGCGGCGCCGGCCTCTTTCCGGCCGCGACCGCGGGGAATTCGACGACCAGTTCCTGCGGGTGTTCGAGCATGAGCTCCGCGGCTGTGATTGGCCGGTCGTACGTGAAAACGTCGCCGTTTGACAGGATGACCTTGCCGCGGGCGGCGGCGGAGGGGCCATGGGTGGCGGCGTTCCCCATTGGTGGGTGGCTGAGGGGATTGTGTGAATGACTGAATGTGCGTGCGAGTATTATGGAAGATTTTTAATGAAGAGAATTATCAAGTTTGGGTTTCGATTGGGGTTTGAGTAAAAGGATGCGTTTTATAATGTATTGATGGATTTGATTTTTTGAGAATGTGGAAGAAAGATGGAGTTTGTTAAACCGCTCCAACTTTGAGGATTAGACATAATGGGGGACTTGGTGAGAACAATTAGAGGACCCAATATAATGGGTCATTCATGATAAGTTAGGATTAGACATATGAATTTTAGCCGTTAGATTGCACATAGTCATACACACGCACAAACATGTGTAGATCTAACCGTAGATAGTATGATGAAATCTAATGAATCATTCTGTAAGCACTAAATTTAGTTACAAGTTGGTTAATTGAATTTGATTTATCATATTTACTTTAACAATGATAAAATCAAATTTTAAATAGTTGTACTTTTGTTTACTTTATTTTTTGTGTAGATTTGCTAAAAAAGTTATGATTAGGTTATAGGTTAAATGTTAGAACTGTTTAACAACAATCTTATGGTTATTTAAAAGTTTTAAGTTGTAACATGTTTTTTGGGTATTTGCTTTCATTCGAAATTTTCAACCTTAGGATTAACATTGTTTAATGTGTAAGTATTTTGTAATAGGTCTAACTGGTTAACAATCATACTATTAAATATTTTCATACTCAAATAACATATTTCAAAGTAAAACACAAATAAATAAATAACATTTTAATTTTTAATAGGATAGCATGCTTGATTAACGGTTGAACAACCTAAAAATAAAATTGTGCTTTTTATTCTCAGATTATGTAATAAGTCATACCCACCAAAGCTATATCTATATCAAGTGAGTGGATGCGGGACCGTTCAACCGTATTAGCTTCCAACTAAACGTAATTTCAAATCCACCTAAACATTTGCCAACCTAATGAAGACAAAAGTGATCCAAAAGTTCACTATAATGTAATTAATGTGAAACGTATAATAGAACATTATGCCAATTCAAATGTTGTTGGTATCTTCTCATCAAAGACCCACGTTAGATTTGAGAGTTTTTTGAGTACTTTTACTCTCAGCTGGAACAATACACTAAATTAGCCCGAACAACAACAAATGGTCCCTAACAACGGCGAGAGAGAGAATCGGAACTTATTTTGAAGACATAGTTTCTTGTATATGGATTGATTATTTTGTATAATTTCAAACACTTACCTTATATATATGTCAAGAAGCAAAAGAGTAACCAACCGTATGTGTTAGAGAGTATTTTTAAGGATATATAAAAGTGGACTAGGGCCTAAGATAAATGGTATTTCCACCATCAATTAAATAATCTCACTTCCGCAATAAATTTACACACATATATAATGTATCAGCTTTATTTTTAAAATTACGATTTCGTAAATCTTTTATCAAATTTGAGATTTTGTGGATAAGTATTATCAAATCTACGATATCTATTACTTTTCCAAACTATGCACTCAATTAATGGTTCGATACTTACGCATTCATAACAACTTTTTCTGTTTTTTTTTAAAGCTTGTATAGAGAAACATAAATTTCCAAACTGTCGGCGACTCATGAAACGGCTGATCGGAGGATGAACGGCGCTGCTGCTCCTCGCGCGAAAGGTTGCACTACTCGGGGATGATGGGTGGTCGACGTCTAGGCTGCGGGGAGAGTGGATCTCGACGATGGTAGCGCGTGGCCTTGAAGCTCGTGACTATGGCTGCTCGGAGGCGTTCGAGTATGAGGTTTCCTCGACAAGAGCTTGCTCGCGGCTATGGCAGCCATTGACGAAAATATGGATGAAAAAAACAGAAGTTATGTAGGTTCCTAGATTAATTTGGTCAATTCTCATTGTGTTTGTGACACTAATGTCTGTTTTTTATTATTATTTTGTTTTCCGGCTTCATCTGTCAAAGCTCTAGAGACGTAGAACTAGAATTCACATTGATTTCGTGCGGATTGATTAGTTTTACAAATCTCATATTTTTGTATATCTAAACGTAATATATACAGTAAGTAAACACAATTTTATTCCTGTAATCTTGAATATTTATTTAGTAGATCTGTTTATTTTATAGAAGCATGACTGATGGGAATGTGTTTATACATCACAATTGTGGATCAACAATGAATACGTGTACTACCAAGTCGGAGGTATCTTTATTAGTAAATTATGTGACTACAATCAGCTCCGAGATAGTGTGTTTGATAAACGGAAAATAAACGCGTATTCAAATGATCTTTATATGAAGTATCAAGTGAAGGATGGATATCCACCTATGAGTGTGGATGACCTGCTTGATGTCTTTCCTTTTTGAGTAAAACTGGACCACACCGAGGAATATAGGGATGAGACTATAATAACATCTAACACCATTGAAGATATTATTGTCAAACTCTTCCGATCGACAAGAATTATGTACAACTAGCCTATTCATACCAAGCGACAATCGTCCCAGTACCCAATATATATCCAACATCATTTAGTTCAACATGAATGGGAAAGAACACACACTAGTATCAGAACCTTTTGAAAAGTATTAGTCATACAGAGATCAATCAAATAGCACGTTGGTGGTGGTTTACCGTACGACCTCAAAAGAACCATATGGTCTGAGTTTTCTGAGATAATAGGATAAAACATCCATATGCTGAAGAGCATGAAAAGACAAAGTTTAGTAGATATCTTGAAAATTTTGCTATGAAACAATAGACATGTATACTAAAACTAAACATTAGATAAACATGTGCATAATCAAACAAGTTTTAGAATATAAAGTTGGTCAATTTGCTATAAAACAACAGATGTATATACTAAAAATAACCATTAGATAAACATGTGGTTCTTCATACAACAACAATGTATACTAAAAATAAACATTAGATAAACATGTGCATATTCATACAAGTTTTAAAATATACAGTTGGTAAACATTAGAATATACTCTCTCAAATAGTAAGCATCATTTTTACACTCATTTTCAACATTACATTTAATATCTCAACCTTCAATTCTGGAAAAGAAATAGAAATGAAAAAAAAAAAATGGCATTGGTAAGCAGATCTTTCAAACTCATCTACTTTCTCCTCATAATCCTCACTCTTGAGACTCCCATTGCCACTGGCCTGTGCATCAAACTCCTCCACAAAGACTCCATTCAATGCCCATTTTACACCCGAAACCGAACCCAAACCCGAACCGAAAGACTCAAACTCCTCCTTCAGACATCATCATCATCAAACATCAGAACCAAGATTTTCTTAAGCCATAATAGATCACAAAACAAAACCTCGACCTCGATTCGCCAGATACTCGACAACCAGGATCTAATGTACATGGTCCAGGTCAGCGTCGTCCGTGTAATCTAAGAAAATTGAGTTAGTGGAAAGTTGATCGTGAAAATATGTTCAGATATACTGTATATATACATAAGATAAACAACATGTAAAATGCATATTAATTATCCGTATAGTTATACATAAGATAAACAACATATAAACAACACAAATGAGATAAAACATAACATACAATTCAATCTCATAAACTTCCCCCATTTGAAAATCTCTTTTGTAAAAATCATTAGTCACCTTCAAATCAACCAGTAACCATAACAATCAATCTCGAAAACCAAATTCCAATAAAAATCAATCTGGAAAACCAAAAACAAAAAATAACTCAAAAATTTAAAATCGGAATTACAAATCTCAATAAATTTTCAAAATAGAGATAAAGAGATAGAGAGAGCGAATCGGAATTTACTTGGCTTCTCCGGCCGGCCGTCGGCCGTCTTCATTGTTTCCGGATTTGGCTTCGAATTTTCTTCGCTCGGCCATTAAAGTTTTCAGACAGAGAGTAGCTTTTTGTGTTAGGGAAGATGGCTATTTTGGCTATTGCGTGTGGAAGGAAGGAGAATATCTCTCCCCGATATTCAATCAATCATTAATGTGTGTAGTGGGTAGTTTAAAAGCTGCTGAAAATAAACAATTATCTTAATTAATTAAATATTTCGTAATTATGATAAAAAGTTTACGTATTTGTATTATTAATATTATTTAGCAGATGAAGAGTAAGGGGGTTGAATTTCTCATAAATATAACAGTTGTTGTTAGGCTGCCCAACATTTAACCTTATTCATCTTAATTTCATATTTTTTTAATTAAAAATTATGTTAGTTATATATTAAAATGTCATACTTTATTTATTAAAGTTATTTTCTACTAAATAAGCTAGCTTATAGCTTATTTAGTCACCTTATAGGTTTTCTATATTCAAAAAAGTTTCTTTTGGTATGACGAGTTTTTCTAAAAAGTTCAAGTTTATCTTATAAGCTTCTTTAGGTAGCTTTTCAAATAAGCACGTTATTTTTTTTTTCAGCTAGCTTATCAGTTAATTTTATCAAACACTTTTATCATATAAGTTAACTTTTTAGTTATAAGTCATAAACTATAAGTTATAAGCTCGAAATCACTTATAACTATGTTTGGTTGACAAATAAGCTAGCTTATAGCTTATTTGATTAGCTTATAAGTTTCATGTATTTAAATATGTTTCGTTTGGTAGGGCGAGTTTTTTAAAAAACTCGAACTTATCTCATAAACTTCTTTGGATAACTTTTTAAATAAGTTCGTTGAAATTTTTACTTTATCTACCTTATCAGCTAATTTTACCAAACACTTTTATCATATAAACTAGTTTTTCAACTATAAGCCATAAGCTATAAGCTCAAAAAATTACTAATAAATTATAAGCTAGTTTATCAGCTATTATCTAACTTATCAACTAGTTTTATCAAACATAATCATAAACTATAAGCTAAACTAGCTTATCAGTTAGTTAGCCAACATCAATTTACACAAAAAGTTAGTGTTAAAGTGCTTATTGTTTATATTGTAATTTTTAAAAATAGCATTTAAAGTGCTATTTTTAAAGTGCTTATTGTTTATATTGTAATTTTTAAAAATATATGAAAATTTGTTATTGTCTACACAAATAGCATTTAAATACTATATAACTTCCAGTCTTCTACCCATCACTATTGATTAGAGCTCACAAATAGTTAAGCCCAATCAAATCAAATCAATTTTTACAAAAAAAAAATGAAAAAAAAAAATAAAAAAATCATTCCATCCTCTCATAAATAGGTTCCAAAGCAGGCTTCCACTGTCTAACTCTATACTGATTCAAATTCCCAACAAAACCACCACCACAATCGCCGGAAACCTCCGGCACCACCTTCGAACCACATCGTCTTCGCCCCTTTTTACCGCATATCGACTCGATTTCCACCATATCCGACTCGGACAGCTTCCCGTTGGCTCTACAAACAGGGACCAGCACGTAAACCCTACCTCCGGCCAAACTCTCGTCGGCCTTCATAGCCGACAATCGGAAGCCGTTCAGCGGCGAGATGACGTATCCGGGATCCTCGATCATCAGCTCGGCGGCGGCGGCGGGGACGACGACTCTTCGGACGGTTTTCCGGCGGAGATCGACGAGCTTCGCCGTGTCGGGTTGCGGCGGGTGGATGCAAGAGGACATGTTCCCCATTTTTGTGGGATTTGAGTTTTTCTTTTTTTAGGGATTTGGGGAAAATGAGAAGGTAAAGTTTTTAGTTGATTTGAGGTCTGGATTTTGTTGTGTGTTTTTATAGCGTTGCTTGGATGGTTTGACTGAGAAAGCGTGTTTGGTTTTGAGTGTGTTGTGAGAGTGTGTGACTGGTCAGTCAGTACTCGGAATCTATCTCTTTGCTGACTCGTCAACTCTCCAAGTGTGTGGATCAATAAATTGCTGCCATGAGTGATT